GCAATGCAAATAAAGGAACGACCATGTGTCGTGCCCCTGCTGACCATAACTCACCTGAGGACGTGAGAGGCACGTCAACCAGCCGAGTTAGAACTCTGTCATAAATATATTCTCTACTCAGGGACACACAAGTCTTTGGGTTAGTCACCGCTTTCGTAACGTTTCTGAATAAAAAACAAAAATTCGATTTACGGTATGGTATTGAGAGGACGTTTCGCCCACCAGTCTTTCTCAGTCCTCATTCACAGAACACGAGCGTATCTATTTGTGAGTCGGTAAAATGTTAGATAACAGTCACAGATGCAACTAATGTGACATTTTATTGTGGCAACGTTTCGCTCTCCAGGAGCTTTATCAAGCTTAACGAAGCTTGTCACATTAGTTGCAGCTATCGGTAATTCTACCTTTATTATTGACTTGATAACCCCTACTGTATGGGGATCTCACTTTCAAGGATCACAACAGTGCCACGATCGCACGTGCAAAGAAAATGATAGGATGGATAATGAGAACTTTCAAAACGAGAGATGCCAAGCCCATGATGATCCTTTTCAAATCACTTGTTCTCTCTAGGCTGGAAACTGCTTACATTAACATCCCATACAAAGCAGGTGAAATCGCAGATCTAGAGAGTGACAGAGACCCTTTTTACTGCACGTATAAGTTCTGTCAAGCACCTTAACTACTGGGAACGCTTGAAGCATTTGACTTGTACTCTTTGGAACGCAGGAGGGAGAGATATATCATAATCTACACTTGGAAAATCTTGGAAGGAATGGTCCCAAATCTCCCAAAAGAAATCACCTCCCTACGAAAGTAAAAGACTGGGCAGGCGATGCAAAATCCCGCCAAAAAAAAAGTAGGGGCGCCATTGGTACACTAAGAGAAAACACCAAAAGGGGTCCCGGCCCAAAACTGTTCAACAGCCTCCCATCAAGCATTAGGGGAATTGCCAATAAACCCCTGGCTGCCTTCAAGAGAGAGCTGGACAGATACCTAAAGTCAGTGCCGGATCAGCCGGGCTGTGGCTCGTACGTTGGACTGCGTGCGGCCAGCAGTAACAGCCTAGTTGATCAGGCCCTGATCCATCGGGAGGCCTGGTCATGGACCGGGCCGCGGGGGCGTTGATCCCCGGAATAACCTCCAGGTAACCTCCAGGTAACCAGGTAACAAAGAATCGCATTATAATGCATTTGTATCTCTTTTTCCATTAGTCAAGACCAGGAAGCCAGGAAAGCAATAGCAGTCAGTCTTGGTAGTCGATGACAGCCGTCTGTCAGTCCCTGTCTATCTTGTCTGTCAGCGGAGTCAGAATAATGGGTCTCATAATGATGCCCCCCCCATAATATAGGTCACCAATGGGGGGTGGGGGTGATTTTCCTCTGCTCTGAGAGGGCTTCAATTAATTAATGTAATTACTGTTGTGTTGTGGTTCTAAGAGTAATCTGCAGTGTTGACAAGTGTTATGTACAGCATGTGTGTGTGTTGACCTGTGTTGGAGTGGTGACCTGTGTTGTAGGGGTGGCCTGTGTTGGAGTGGTGACCTGTGTTGTAGGGGTGGCCTCTGTTGGAGTGGTGACCTGTGTTGGAGTGGAGACCTGTGTTGGAGTGGTAAGTTGACCTGAGTCGCTTCCCATTGTAGTTCCCACCACATGTTAGCGCCAGACAACATTCACTGCCACTTTTATCGTGGGGAAAGTACCTGGCAATAATTACTCTTGGGAATGAAAGCTGATTCAGAAATTTTTCCCAAAAGGGGAAAACCCCATCCTCGGAAACCGGGAAAAATATATATATATATATATTATATATATATTATATATATATATATATAATATAAAATATAATATATATATATATATATAAATATATATATATATGTCGTGCCGAATAGGCAGAACTTGCGATCTTGGCTTAAATAGCAAGGCTCATCTTGCCATATGGGAAACAAGTGAAAATTTGTGTATCAATAATTTCGCCAAAATCATTCTGAACCTAACGAAAAAAATATATTTGATTTTGTTTGGTTTGT